TGACCTGTGATTTGGAGAATAAACAGCTGCGTCCTAAAATAAGACTCCGGCAGAGGCCCAGCACATAAGAGGCCTTCCGCGACTGTCTGTGGAATAAATTAATGTCATTACAGTAGGCTGAAGGAGGAGTTAGCAGAGACCTGGGATTTCTAAGGGAATGTTCCATTCCCCCCAAGGGTGCTCATACCCCGTTTACCAGACATTTCCGGAGAACTGAATACGGCTCCGTGCTGGCACTGGACAGGACAGCTAAGTCCCTGCTTCTTCCCGGAGCTTCAGTTTAAACAGGTGCAAGTTCATGGGCGTGAGGCTGGATTTTTGAACGAAGAGATTTGTGCATGATTGAGATGTTTTTCCATTAGGCTCCCAAATATTATTTAAAATCTTGTTCAGACGTGGGCTCATTTTTATTTATGTATAACTAGATCTTTGTAGAGCCTCACTGTACCTGAGGGACACAGCTTTGTGTGTGTTGTTATGTGTCTGTGGTGTGTATAGATATGTGTGGCGTATATATATATGTGTGTGGTATATGTGTGTATGTGTTTATTGTGTGTATTGTGTATATGTCGTGTATTTGAGTGTGCTCTGTATACATGTGTGTTGCGCATGTTGTATGTATGTTTGTGTGTTATATGTGTGCATATGTTGTATGTTGTGTGTGTGCATATGTGTGTTGTGTGTGTTTCTTTGTGGAGGAATGGGCAGTGGACAAGGGAGGAAGAATCCCCTCTTCTTGTCCTCCCCCCCCCGTATTAATTGTGAAAGCCTAGGATGTTATTGGAAATTACGAAGTGCACTTCTGTCGTAATTCACTAATCCTGTTTCTATAGATTGTAGAGTGCTTTTGGTTGAGTGAGTGGGATTTATTTATTTAAGTATGTGTAGAAAAAATAAGCAAGAGTATTCTGGGCGTCTTTATGGTGTTTTATTACAGATACTTCCTCTTCTGCAACACTCGGGATGTTATTTCTGTTCCCATTCAAATGCATGTATGGCAGGAATTAGACAGCAAAGACCTTGACCACAGTGGCCAGTGGGGACGTTGGTCAGCTGAAGCCACGGGCTCCTTTGGAAGGGACAGCAGGTTCTTGGCTCCGGGTCTGTGTTCCACGTGGGATTGGAGGCTGGGAGGTGCCAGATCTTCTGATGTTTTCAAGAGAAACCAAAAAAACCCAGAAAACTAGATTTTAATGAGTTCTCATTTTTTAAATGTTGGAAACTAATTTCACTGTGTTTACAGTATGACAGAAACCAAAGAAGATCTTCATTCCGCAGGTGGCCTGTTTGAGACCTCTGATTTAGACTGTCCCCAAACAAATGATAGCATTTAAGATGTTTAAGAACAGCCAGGATCACTCCAGACTGGAATTCCAATGTGCAAACTGCATTGGGGTTTGTGCCCACACTGCGCAGATGTCCCATCAACCCCATCTTCTCTAGGACAGCATGGCCTGCAGGGCGTGGAATGTTCTGGATGGGCTCTGTCCAACACAGTAGCCTCTAGCCACATAGGACTGTGGGACCTTGGAAATGTGCCTGAGGTAATGGAGGAACTGCATTGTTAATTTTAGTTAATTTAAGCTTCAATAGCCAAGCCTTCCTGTGGTGTCTACAAATTCTCATCCCCATAGAAGCCCAGCCAAGAGCTACTGAACAGAACCAAACCGAGAGACACCTTTGATTCGCAAAATGGTGTAAGGAAGAAAGGTGGGGTTGGTGTTGGTGGGGTCTGGGACAAAGCTTCATACCTCTAATTATATGAAACATCCAAGTCAAGCTGATACGCTCTTAGATAAGATACGTTCCATCCTTCTATCCGGACAAGTCTTTCTTCATAACAGCCTGGGAGGCCAGGTTCCCATTTAGAATTCCTAGACTCTTGGGTCCCTGCCTCGGAGCATGGTGGCATGGGGAGAGCTGGCCCCTCCGTCCCCACTCTGCTCCACTCATGGCCTGACCAGTGAGCCGGGGTAGAGTGGAACTTTACCTAACGGGAGAGCCAGGACCGCCGTCTTTGCGGACTTCTGTTCCTACTGCGCGTCCCGCCTGGTCCCCGTTTTGGCTGCAGCTTCACCTGACCTTGAGACACTGCACCCAGCTTTGCAGACGCGCCTTGTATCACAGGTTCCCGCACTGATCTGGGTCTAGACCCGCCCTCTGGGACCCGCACTAGGATCAGATGGACGCCTCTTGGGATCGCACGGAAGCCTCTCCCTCGTTGCCTCCAAATTGGGGGATAATCACTTTGCTAAATGGGCTTGCGCTGAATTCTTTGGGGGCAAATTAGAGCTGAACTTGACGGCTTCTTTGAAGGAGTGTTTAAGAACCCAGACAAGGAGTGGGCACAGATGTGACTCCGGCCTGAGGTCAATAAGGAGAATTCACTTCATTAAGCTGCTTATTTACCATCACGGAATCATCTTTGGCAATTTGCCTCGGAAGACTTTTCTGACTTGGGGTGATCATTTATGCCCAAAGAACTGGGCGGGTGAAGACAGATTACAGGTTGCTTTCACCCACGGGTAAGTCACTCCAGTGAGCTCCATGGGATTAAGGGCATTAGCTAAAAAAATCAGGGATCTTAATGCTGAGATGTGGACCTGGGTTATCTTCATCGAAACAACATCTTTCAAATGATTTATAAAATCTGACAGTCGAGTAGGTGTAGGGGGAAAAAAAGCCCATAGTCGTTGCCCTGTGTGCGCACATACTTGCAGGTGAACACCAGAGCAGGGTCCGTCGGACGAGGGCTTCGGAAGCTGATTTTGAACCACCGACTGCTCACGTTCTTTTCGGGTTGGCAGCATCTCCAGGAGCCGGAGCTGGGGATGAAAGCTGGTCAACCTTCCGGAAGCCGGAGAGCCCTGCCCTTGTTACGCAGCAGCTCCCTCCTGTGGTGACAACGGAGAACAGGCACCGAATCTGTGCCCCTTGGAGGAAATCAAGATCCCAGGCACAGAATCCCGAGAACCCCCGCTCCTTAGCTCTCTCTAGAATTCAGGATTGTCAGTACAACAGGCTCCGTGTCCTCCGCTAGACCGTTCAGACCTTCATGCGATCGGTGTGTGTATGTGCTTGTTGCTCCCTTTCCTGGAGAACACTTGCATTGTCTCCCCGTCTCCTTAATTTCCTCCCTACTCCAGCCACTTTTCATGGTTAGAAACTGTCCCGTATGACTTCATAGCTCTTAAGTAATACCGTGATCAAAGTTAATGTCAGTATTTTATTGCCGAAACATGTTGTCTTCTGGGTGACTGTTCTCGTGGTATAAATACTTGGCAAGCCTGAGGGGTTTTAGGAAGTGATGGGTTCTTTTTCTCATTGCCTTGACCTAATTTTCCCTCTACCGACATCAGTTCTAGCTATTGAAACAGAAACCTTCGAAACATTATTAGAAGCTGAAGGACATCCCTACATGCTTTATGATTCTTAGACTGAGTAGGATTGCTTGAGATTAAATTTGAAAGCGACTTCGTGCCCGTGTGCTTATTTCTAAGGGATCCAGCGATCCTGTGAACTTACCTCTAAGGGATCCAGTGATCCCATTTGCTTATTTCTAAAGGATGTTGTAAACACATTTGCTTATTTCTAAGGGATCCGGTAATCCCGTGTGCTTATTTCTAAGGGATCCAGTAATCCCGTGTGCTTATTTCTAAGGGATCCTGTAATCTCTGGTCCATTCGAACTCTTGAAACCCTCCCTTCTGAATTGGCTGCCTGTGGGGCTGGTCAGAGGTGTGGATGAGGCTACCTGTGTCCAAAGACAACAAAACCCCAAGGCAGTGCAAGAGGATAGGGTTTGGGGGATAAAACTGGAGATAGGAGAATGGGGGAAAGATAACAGTTGCTAACCCTTCTCGCTGCTCTTCTGAGGGGGTGGACAGGCCTCATTCTGCTGCTGTGGAATAATCGGGAGTCTGATGTCCTTCATTTCCTCTGGAATCTTACCCACAGGGGATCGTGGCAGTAGGAACTGGGGGGCGCGGCGCCCTCGGGAGCTTCCCGTCTCTCCTGGCTCCTTTATTTATCTGTTTATTATTTTTATTCATGCAGGTCCAGTATTTCAAATACTGACCAGTGAATAACAAGCCCTCTTTGGAGGGAGGTAGTCTCGTCTCGGTGGGCTTCTCGTATACATTTTACATATCTTTTAAGGATGAATAAAGGATTCATGAAGAAGATAAAATGGATTGGCTCCATTCAGAAAACACTGAATGCAAGAGTATAGCTGTTTGTACACCTGTGTAAGAGGATTTCTCTTTTTTCCACCTTCCAAAACCCAACACGGCAGCCGCTTTACTGGAACTTATAGTAAGTGAGGAAGGAAAAGCAGGTACACAGTTTAGCAGTTAAGCGCTGCTTCTGCTTATTGGCGCTATTATTTTCATGCGTCCTGGCCTGAGCTTTGACCGTCACTCTGCCTCTTCTGTGTGCTAGCTGTGTGGCCGAATCCTTCCGAGAGAGAGAAACATCTGTAAGCCATAAAGTGTAGTCAAAACACCAGAGGAACAAAGAGCCCAACGGTTTCCTATGACTGAGCAGACGCGGCTAGATTTAAAGCATCTTGGCAGATACGGTCCCTGCCTGTGAAGAGCTTCTAGTCTATTTTGTAGGATAAAGCTCTGCTTCATGGACTCTTTTGATGCTCCAAGAACTTTGCTTCCCACCTGTTTGGATCTGACAGCGCGACTGTGAACGGTGTAGCCGGGGCTTAGGTCCTGGGATTGGTCCGGGGCGCACTTTGCAGACTCCCGCCCGTTACAGGGCTGTCGCGACCCTAATGTCCCCCGGGGCGCGCCGGTGTGGCCTCTCCCTCTCCTCTCTGATGGGAAGACTGGCGGCTCTGCTCAGCTCCGAGGTGTGCGGAAGCTGGCAGGGTGCCTGCGTTCCCCTGGGTCAGCTTGAGCTCCCGCTATAGTTTCACCCCAGAAAGCAACACACCCCATCAGAGAGAGAGAGGGAGGGAGGCAGGGAGGGAGGCAGGGAGAGCTGATTGAATGTAGCAGCCTTTGGTATTTGCTTAAAATGCTAAACAAGAGACCCGGGTCTTTAAGAGCAGGTTCTCAGGGAAATTCTGGAATTGCAAGCTGCAGCCCTTTCTCCCCGCGCTGGGTTTGGCTGTTTTCCAAAGCATCGAGGCCAGCAATTGAGGGACTGAAATATAGTCAGCGGTGGCACATTTGCACCACACGAAACATTCTCTGCCTCCAAAGCCTCCAGCGGCTGTGGGACCGGCTCACCGGCAACAGCTCTTGGCTGCTGGCCTCTGCAGGGAGGGAAGATTGGATCACAATGGTAAGAACCTCCAGAGTTTTCTGTAGAGCTGGTTTGGGACCTGGCATCTGTCCGTGGCATTGGCTGTGGGTAGCAGGAGGCTGAACTTGAGCTCTGGGGTGCTTCAGTTTCTTCCTAGAAAGGGCAGGGACCCCCTCCCCCAACTTGGCCCCAAAGCCCTAATTTTTGGGAAAAATGATTCGGAGCCTTGTAATGAATAAGGACCATTTGCTGGGCTGTAGCAGGGAGGGACGGTCCAATGGTGACCTCAGACGTGAGCCCCGATTAACGCAGCCTCTCGTGCGTGCTCGTCCTCTGGACGCAGCTGTAATTTCCAGGCGGCCGCCTTCCAGAAGTAATTGCTTTGCTTTCTCGGTATTTTCGTGCGGGGCTACAAACCTGCTCATTCGGAAGCAGCTCTCTTGCCTGACGAGTGAAATGTCACAGTTCTGCGAGTGTCACTGTCGATGGGAGGCATTGGCACGTTCCCCATGACTAGAGCAAACTTCTAAGTGATTTCTTTTTTTTTTTTTTTCTTTCCTTCCAAACTGTCATTCACGCACAGCGACTAGAGGGGCCCAGGTTCTAAAACAAAGTGTAAGTGACTTTGTTTGGGGGAAGTCTGTTGGATTGGCCGTGGCAGAGCGAACATTGCCCGGGGGGGGCATGCCTTTCTGGGAGCGCGAGGTCTCAGACCAGGGGTGGGGTGGCCCCTGGTCGGGGAGTTGGGGGGGCGGTGTGCTGAGCTCCCTGGGCCCCACGCATTTCCTTTAAGGAATCCAGCGACGAAGGACATGGGTAATAATAAGATTATATAACATTTAAGAGAAAATATAACCTATTACTGTGTAGAGAGAATGCCTAAAATACATTTATTTGACTGCACAGCTGATGTGTGGGACACGATTATCCCGTTTATAATCCAGATGAATGAAGAGAGTGCTGATGAGGGATATGGGAATTTTTAGAAGTAAGTCTGCCTCTCCAGCCAGTCAGAAAAGGGGACACTGGGAACCAGATTGATGAGACTTTCATTTCACTTTCTGCCCTCACCCTCCAGCCTTGCTCACTCGCTCAGGAGCAGACAGACCCTGGAAACAGTCACAAAGCTCAGGGTCCGATTGTTCCCTCCTTAGTTGACGGGCTAGGGGGTCTTCGAACCCCGGGAGATGTCACATGAAAGAACCACCTATTCCTCCTTGCCCAGCAGGGTGGGTAACCATCAGCTTGCCCGGCATGAGGATTAAAGGGGGCTCCTTAGTGCTTTCGAATGTTTTTGCCTCAATTCTTGAGGCATAATAATTCTTTATCTTTTTTTTTAAGGATTTTATTTATTTATTTGACAGAGAGAGAGAGAGAACACAAGCAGGGGGAGCGGGAGAGGAAGAAACAGGCTTCCTGCCGAGCAGGGAGCCCAACGCAGGGCTCGATCCCAGGACCATGGGATCATGACCTGAACGGAAGGCAGACGCTTAATGACTGAGCCACCCAGGCGCCCAATTCTTTTCTTTTTATTAGCCTGAGGGCGTTCCTTTAAGGATTAAAAAGGACCGAGCTCTAATGCAGGTGGGTCCCTGCCAGTGCCCTTGAAGCCTGGGCATGAGCTGAAGCATAGCGACAATCTTGTACCACATTCAGGGAGACGACAAGGAGCCTGCCAGGGACGGACTCACTTAATTGCAGTAGCACAACCTAAGGAAGGTATGTGGACCTCTTTTTTGGATGGCGGAAAAAAAGTTGGAAACATTACCCAGTTGTACATTGAAATGAAACCTTTGGTCTAATTGAGCTTTTCCAAACCGCGAACACTGAAGCGGTCACGGTGTTGTAGGGCAGACAGTCTCACCAGCCGGCTTTTGCAAAGGGAGCTGTGCCTACCTTTCCTTCTAGTGAGAACTCCGTCCAGAGAGCAGGGGGTTGACCAACGGGTCTTTGATGGTAAAGGGAGGGAATCTCTGCATAGGTTAGATTTTTCAAGAAGTCCCTCCATGAGGACGAGGAAACCCGTGTTTCTTATCATGCAGATGTGGTCAGTTACCTTGCTTATCAGAGAGAAGGGACAGTCATTGTGTTTCAGACCCTCCTTATTAGGATCAGGAGCGTGTTGGGACTTGCTGGGCGCTCCACCAAGTACCTCGGCCCGCCGTGGGCTCTGGCCTCAGATCGCCTGTTTTCATTTTATTTACAGATCAGAAGAAAATGCAGAGTTAAATCCATCCCACAGAATTGCAAACCACTTTAAGTTATTTCAAAGCAAAGGAAATGTGTGAATGCTTTCAAGGAATATGTTACAAATATCGAGGTTGTTTCTGCTACGTGCCAAGTGTTTTAAATACTTTAATATTCCCCATCCTTATTTTTAAGCAGATATTATGATTATGATTACCATTGTGCTGAGGTAAGGTACAGAGACGTTAAATATTTGCTAAAGACACACAGCTAGGAATAGGTAGTGTGAGGGTAGGAACAATTACAAGGCCCTTCTTTTTTTTTTTTAAATTAATTTATTTATTTTAGAGAGAGAGAGAGAGGGCATGAGTGGTAAGGGCAGAGGGAGAAGGAGAGAATCCGAGGCAGACTCCATGCTCAGTACGGAGCCTGACACAGGGCTCTATCCCACAGCCCTGAGATCAGGGCCTGAGCCCAAACCACGGGTCGGACGCTCAACCAACAGACCCCCGCCCATACCAGGCACCCCTCAAGGCCCTTATTCCCTAAGCCACCTCATCCTACAACCTTTTAAGGTCTGGAGGAAGGTAAGCCAAGCCAAGACTTCGATGACCCAGCCTTTAAAGCTTCAAATAATCTTTGACACTTCTCTTTCTTCTTCATATCCAATCCGCTCCTAAGATTGTTCTTTCTTGGTGTCTTCTGTTTGGATGCAATATTGTCATTTGATTCTTACCTTATGTTCCCGCTGTGGCCAGCTTCCCTTCAACAGTTCCCTTCATCTGGGACAGAGTCTAATGTTACGAAAAGAAGATTTAAATGCAGCCAGACCTAGAGTTCCATTTTTCTGCTACCCACCTGTTTGTGTGGTTTGGGGGCAGTGATTTTTTAAAACTCCTTCTTAACAGTTACTGTTCTTGTTTGCAAAGTGGGACTCATGATTCTTACTTCTGTTGGGTCTCGGTAATAATTGCCTTAACGTTTGTGTACAGTTGGATGTCTGATTAGGCCGGAGATCACGGTGGGGAGGTGAATTGCGAGGAAGCTTTTGAAATTATTGGAGTACAGGTGATCAGGATTTCAGTGAGGATGGTGGGGAAAAAATGAAAAAGAATCCGAGCAGGAGGACAGATGCATGAACGGTTCACCGGCGCAGGCCACTGACTGAATGTGAACTTGAGAAAGGGAAACGCAGCAACGGACTCGAGAAGAGTGAGGGAGAGTCCTGTGACTGTAGTTCCTCCGCCACCAGGCAGGACGCTTTGTATCCGGTAGGTTGTGTGTGTTGTCAAAGGAATAAAAAAGACACCCATCAAGGAAGCAAAAGTATGAGAGTCAAAACATATAAACCGATGACTTTTGTAGCCTGTCACCTGAAGTCCAGGGGTGTATTTAGAGGTGAGTGACAGTGTAGCGTGTTCTGGGACAAATGTGGAGGCTCAAGATGCTAAGTGGCCTTTGGATTATGTTCCTGAAGAGAAGAAGGTGGGTTCAGAGGGTCAGGGGAGGGGACGTGTGCCTACCCCCAGATATATAGATCCGAAGGTTTTGGAAGTTTGAAGGTGACACGTAGAGGGCAAACTGGAGATAGCTGGAAATGACTAATGATTTCAAGGCTGTGTTCTTGATAACTGATGACCTAGCATCACGTTGATAAGATGAATGGAAAGATATGGAAGAACACGAGTGGATAAAAAAGCCCCCTTCCCTCAAAAAAAAAAAAAAAAAAGCACACAGAATAGAAGTATTTTATTAATTAGAATAGGTAGGATAGTAATTGTCAGGAAGGGGGATATTTTGATGGCACAGTTTAGGGACTTCAGTGTGTCGGTTGGCTTTGAGTCTCTCCTTGAAGAGTGTGTCAGGCGCATTAAAAATTATAAATTGCACGACCAGTGATGTAATGAAGATGAATCGTTCCCCTTGTGCTTTCTGTGGTCTTGTGTGAAGGAGCTGCCTTTGATGGCTTCGGGGAAGTGCAGAGCTGAAAATAAGCAAATGTGAGCTCCGTTCCGGTTTCATCCCGTTGGTCAGCTTCACGGGTCCAGATGGCTCACGCTGGATGCCGGACCGGTCCCGTCTGGCGAGAAGACGTAAGAGCAGGTGGATATGGCATGGTGGGTAAAATACCACAGAAGTCGTTGCTGATCAAGCCTCATGTTGACTGTGAAATCAACAACGTGAGAGAGGAAGACCTAGGATAAAGAGACTAATTAGCTGGGAAACCTAGAAATTAAATAGGTTCCTGGGAGGAGATGCTCCTTGGGGAGATGCTCAGAGGATTATGGGAGAAATGGGATAGTTCAGGTTGTTAGCCTTAAACGCAAATTTAAATGTTCTCGTGTAAATGTGGACATGAGAGTGGCATGAAGACCCTCCGATGTATGTCCAGTCCTGGCTGTATCTGGTACTTCTGGCTGAGCTTACGACAGGCAGGCTCACCCTCCCCACGTCTGCTTCTCTGACTTCTGCCCTTCCCATCGGTATTCCCAGATGCCTGCTAGTTTTTTCCCCTCCTCTCTTACTTCCCGTCTTACTCTTGGGATTTAGCAATCCAATATGTGGATTGGCTGCCCAGACATCTCGGACCCCTGAGGATTTTTGGGTCTATGAAGGGCCCGGACTCCCCCAAAACCCCCCCCCCCGAGTCACCCCCTCCCTCTTTCCGCCCCCCCCCCCCCCCCCCCCCCCCCCGAGAAGGGCAAGTGTATTTGGAGGCATTGGGTGTTTGGATTCTGAAATTCTGTGTTTGGATTTAAAGCACGTTTTATAAAAATACTTGGGTTAATTTCCTTATGTGGTTAGTTACTGTGTTTATTTTGGTTTCAGTAGGGAAATCAAAATATAAGGAA